TCTAAGGCTGAAAAATCAAGGGGCAAAGGACTGGCCAGGTACTACACATAACAAGCCAATCAGCAACACATCAACGACAATCTGACACAAAGAATAACAAGGGTAACAACTGGACAGTAGCTAATCTTTCTATATTTGCTAAAATAACTCTAAGATCTACATCACCTAATTCAAGACCAAAAATTTCGACAATAAACTCAATACGAAGCAGAAAGCATTTAAGTTTGGTGGAAATGTGGAGTCTAAATACCTTTTCAAGAATTGGACCATGGGTTGACCCAGAAGAGTGTGGAATGGCCTCTTACAGCCTGTGCGCCACTTGCATCAACTGGAGAAGGTTGGTTACAACCTGTGCGCTACTTGCATCAAAATTGATCGTTCTTACATTGACATATTCCCACATTCGTTGTTTAATATCACCAAAGAATAATTTTTAAAGAACCTAAAGAAAAGTGTTAAAGTATTTATATAAAGAAGTATATCTAGGTAAAAATTCCTATTGATAGTAATAATTTCAGTTTCTTTAGACGGATGGATTTCGAAATGGACCTAATATCTAATGGATTTGGGTCATGTTTTGGGCTGATTTCACGACCCATGAGAGGCATCCTCATTTGGGATTGAAGAACCGACCCGTTTCAGAGTCTCAACGTCGGCGATTTGCTTCTGATCTAGTCTCTCCGGCGAATTCGATCTCTTTTTTTTCCGGTGATGTAAGTTTCCATCTTTCTCATATGCACTTGTAATCAACTCATAATATGAAGAAGAAAAAAAAAAACCTTGTATTCGCTAAATGGAATATAGGGACAGAACTCAAATTACAAATTAGAAACTGAAATTGAAATCTAATGGCTAAGCTGTTGCCCATTGATAGACTTGAATCAGAGGGAAAATCGACTTGATACCAGTTGAGAACTGCTTGATTCATTATAGGTAGAATTGAATGACTGTAATTCAAAGGAATCAGCTGTTCAAATGAAGCATCTTCAAGGTTCAAGCTGGTCAGCCAAATAGCAAGTGTTCTCAGTGATCACTTTTGAACAATCATAATACTTTAACCTAGAAACTCCTTCTTGTAATGTCTCAAGCTTTTCTATAATCATTTCTAACTCATTTTCCCATATCTCAATATATGTCGTCTTAGTTTTCATCTAAGTTGCTCTGACTCGGCAATTTAGGTGCCGCACTCGTGTCAGTACGACACTAGTATGGGTGTGGGTATGCGATTCGGATCCGGTCAAACAATTTTGGGTACTTTGACCATGACGGACGGAAAATTCGAGATGAGATACAATTTGATTCCCGAAATCAGAACCAAAACTAGGATAAATTTGAAGAAAATAGCATACTTCATCTAGAAAATCAAGCATTTACTTATGTACGACTTGAGAATAAAAAAGAAATCCACACTTTACAAGCTATACGTAAGTATTCCACAAATTTTCTCATTATTAGAGATATTTTTATATTTTTATTATTTTGAATTATTTTTAGCCAGATCCCCGCACTCGTATCTGTACTAGAATTCATATCCCTGAATCTTAGAATTTACATCTCGAAGGATCCGACCTCTAGATCTACACCCGTGTCGGACACCCACACCCATGTTCGAGCAATTTAGGTTTTCAGAGGGTATTTTACAAGCTTTTAGAAACTAAAGGAGTGTATAGTTTTCCATCCTAGTAGACCATTGGCGCGAGCTACACTTTTTTGGTTGTAACTCTGTAGAGCCCTTTGGATGAGTCAAATATTGTTCTGATTTTCCCTTGGCTGCAGAACCCTTTTTACAACTGATTTTAAAATGTACAGAAAAGGAGGTGTTCACACTCGTTAGCACATAAACTAGACTCTTTCTTGTTTCCATGGTTTTTGGAGTTTAGAACTTTGACGAAGTTGGATCCTGCGTTGCTTTTCCTCTTTTTATTTCTGGATAAGAGAAAATATGTTGATGTCTCCACTACCAAGAAACTTAATGCTACTTAAATGTCCTTTTCTTGTGACAATGTTCTTTTCATTATACTTGTAAATTTGGATATTACAGTATCCTTTTAGCATTATTTGGTTGGACCTTTGGGTCAATGATACAGCAGGAAACTCAGTCATATGGTGTTGGCAGAGCTGAGTTACAAGTTTAACATAGAATATATGAAATGGTGTTCAACGTTTTGTTTTGGGTTAATAATTTTTGCTTTGATACACTTAGGCTATTATCATAATCTAACTTATGTGCCATAATAACTGCAGATGGGAGAACTGCAGGTGGAAAGGCATGTTGCGTACATTTTAACAGTTGAAAAGGTACTCATCTTGTTTCACATCTCCTTATTCTTTTTCCTTTTCATCTTATACTATATCTGTTATTGTATTACTTGTTCACCGGAAAGTTTCCATCTGCATCATTGTTCTGGTACGCATGTGGCTGCTAGTATCTGCTTCTTATGATCATATTTGTGTGGCACTGCTCAAACATACTACTGGAAGACAAATAGTCTTTTAATAAAATAGGCAAAAGTTAAATGGAATTCGGAACAATTAATTCATGTTGTAGAGCCTAAAGTTTGTCCAAGATATTTGGTTTATGTTAAAGTGGCACTAATATCATTTCATGGCTTTTCTCCTCAAATATTGTATTAGTTGTAACTTGTGACTCATCTTTGAGTTCCAGTAGTGTTTGGAGTAGACGTCTACATGATAGTTAGTAAGCACATAGAATGCCCAATAACTCTAGGAGAAATCATCTCCTAACTTCATAAATGTGGCGTGACATGCAAGTATTTTATGTTTAAGATGAATCAAATAGTTAATAATTGATTTTTTATGGCTCTGTTGCTTACTGTATCTCTATATAAGTATGTACGATATTATTTTTATTTCTAAAATGTGCTCATATAACTTCAGAGGAAAGATGATTTTGAATCTGTGGTGATGGAGCATCTGAGGTTAAATGGGGCATACTGGGGATTGACAACTCTTGATATTTTGGGAAAGCTTGATGCTGTGGATAAAGATGAAGTTATTTCATGGGTCATGCAGTGCCAACATGAATCCGGTGTGTTTTCTTGCACTTTGTTTTGTTTTGTGACAGTAAATATTTGGGCCTATTTCCAACTTTACTGTCATACTTTACTGCAGCTAGTCTGCCAGCTGCTCTTTAAAAGGATGCCTGTCTTTTTTTTGTTCTTTTTCTCTTTTACTCTCTCTTGTTGGATTAAGTTACTCTACATGATCTTTATGTAAAAGTTCACTTCCCCATTTGTCTAATATGCAGGTGGATTTGGTGGTAACATTGGACATGATCCGCATATGCTGTATACACTTAGTGCTATTCAAGTCTTGGCCCTATTTGATAAACTACATGTTCTTGACATTGATAAGGTGTCAAGCTGTATCCTTCGTCATGTCTGTCATTGCAGCAGAATTTCTGTCCATGGATCTCTTAGATCTCATCTATATCTATGAACTCTGTAACACTAATAGCATTGACTGCTTTTTTGCCGATAACTTAGAAACCAGTACTTGGATATGTTTGGCTCGTTTGGTGGGATTGCTCTTTGATACCTAGAATATGGTGAAACTATTGTAGAAGACACTCTTCAGTTGATTAATATTAATTAATTAATTGGCATTGAGTCTTAGGCACCAATTGAGAATCTGTATAACCAAGGATAAACTTGACTTTTTCGGCCAGATATTGCAGGCCTGCAAAATGAAGATGGATCCTTTTCTGGTGACATGTGGGGTGAAGTTGACACACGGTAATAGCTGCTCATTTTGTTTACTGTTTATGTATTTTAGCATGCTTCAGTGTAGAATTCGTTTCTTTTTCCCCCCCTTAAATTTTACTTATTCTAGCAGGGATTTGCTATAATTTTAGATATTCGGCTTTGAAAACTACTATTAGCAGTAATTTGAGAATGGTGTGACCTAAATTAAGTCTTCTTTTAGGTTCTCTTACATTGCAATCTGTTCTCTAGCATTGTTGCGCCAGTTGGATAAAATTGATGTTGGAAAAGCAGTGAAATATATTGTAAGTTGCAAGAATGTGGATGGTGGATTTGGATGCACACCTGGAGCAGAATCTCATGCTGGGCAAAGTATGTTGAACAAAGAAATGTTGAATTTTATCATACTTCCGTTAGTTGTTTGAACTAAAACATGAACAAGGTCTAATCTGAGCTTTATAATTTTGTTTCTATTGCTCAGACGCAATTTTTTTCCAAGATTTTCACATTTCATGTTCCACTTAAGGATTCTACTCCTAAGTCATTGTGATTAATTCCCATAACAGCGCACTATCATTTGATATCTAGATCAACAACCAAGACAATAAGCACTTATACCAGAAACCAGGATTAGTTGACAATAAGTAAAGTGGCAAAATCATCAGTTGAAGGTACTGGTGTTGCATGATATTTCAAGTTGTCAAAAGATTTGAAAAAGTCACGAGCAATGGATAGAGCACGATGACTCTTTATGGTTATTATCTGCTTTTAATAAACGTTCAATCGAGATAAATTATCCATTTGTAGGTCCTAGATTGGTGAAACAACTGATGTAAACAAACTGGGAATGCTCTGAAATAAAAATCCTTATATTTTGCTTGTCTCTTCTTTTGCATGGAACAAATAGGGTTTGCTGGAGGATTTATTTTCTCTATATAAAATATTTTTCTTTAATCATTCGATTTATATGAGAGTTAGTCAAAATCCATATTATTGGTGAAATGTTAGAGGGAGGGAACAATTTCAGCTATTTGTTGGTTTTTAAGCTCTTGTGTTCCATTTAGTTTCCATCTTTCGCTAGTATTCCTATCATATATAAGTCACTTTTCGCTGCATTATTGGACTGCAATCGATACTATGCCTCTTCATTGCAGTTTTCTGTTGTGTGGGAGCTCTTGCAATAACTGGTTCTCTGCATCATGTTGATAAGGACCTCCTTGGTTGGTGGTTATGCGAAAGACAAGTTAAATCTGGAGGTCTAAATGGGCGTCCCGAGAAGCTTCCTGATGTTAGTTACTCTTGCTAATTTCTATTTGCATGTCACTTGATCTTTATTGATATTCCTGTCGTTTCCTCTCAGGTCTGCTACTCTTGGTGGGTTCTTTCCAGCTTAATCATGATTGACAGAGTGCACTGGATCAACAAGGAGAAGCTTGC